CCTACACGCTACACGTGGAATTCAAGTTCCCGCGTGTGTGCCTTTTTTAAAACCCCTTTCTTCTTCACCATTGCTTCCCTCACTTTTTCATTTCCTTTTCGTCATGGCCAAACGCGGAACACCCAATGCATGCGACGACACCGTATCGCTTCTTCCCTCCCACCGGAAGAAAGCCAAGCCCTCCGCCTCTAACCCCGACGTCTGCTTCGTCGGAAAGCCCATTCCGGCCACCGAGGCCCGCGCTAAGTGGCCCCACCGTTACCACGCTGAAAAGAAAGGTTCAGCTCCAAACTCAAAACAGTGAGTCTTTTATATTTATATTTATATTTCACTGTTATTTCATTCCTTGCATGGCAACTACGATTTAACACCTATGTATGCATATGACTCTGTAGAGGTGCCTGCGAGAACAGTGAGGTTATGCTTGCATTGCGTCATTACCGTCAAGCAAAGATAGATGGAGTTCTGTATAGCCTCTATGACGATGCTTATGTTAAGGTATTTGCTTTTCAATTCTATGCTATGAGATCATGTTAAAAACGAAAACCAAAACTACTTGAAAAAAATTAACGTTCTTGTTGGATTATTTCAGGCGGAAGGTGATAAACCTAATTATATTGCGAAGATTGTTGAGATGTTTGAAACCCTTGATAAGGAATTATATTTTGTGGCTCAGTGGTTTTACAGGGCTGAGGATACAGTGAGACTCAATGGCTTAACTCTTTTCTCTTTTTAAATCTTTATTATCTTTGAACTCACTCGTTTTGGGGTTTTGAATAAGTGTAGGTTATCAAAAACCACGGTGAACTTGTTGACAAGAAACGGGTGTTTATATCTGATGTAAAGGACGCGAATCCGCTGGATTGTATTGTTTCCAAAGGCAAAATTGTTGAAGTATCTTCGCATGTACGTGAGGGGGGTGTTTGGAAAAGTATATTTGAGCCTTTGGAATATTTTTATATAAGTTCTTGGAAAATATTGTCAAGATGAGTTCTAGCTTATTTCAATAAACTTTGGAATTTAGCGTATGAATGAGTAATTATTTGACGAGAATTTACTGAATAAATAGTTTATTATACTGTTTACTTTACCTTAACATGTCCTATAAATTTATCTTGAGATTGAGAGAGCTTAAAATTTGCCTGTTACAGGTGGACTTGACCGGAAACAAGAGAAAAATCCCGTCTTGTGATTTCTACTGCAACATGAAGTATACTGTGCCGTACTTGACCTTTTCAAACCTCGTTAATGGCAAGAGCGATATGATGTTTTGAATGAAATTACTGCACGATTCGTAGTCTCTATTGTTTAATAACTGCACGATTCAGTCTCTGTTGTTTTTGCACTACACATTGCTGAATTTGCCATCTTATTTGTGGTTCCCTCTGATTATCCAGAAACAGCCAAAATAGAAAGCGACGCATCTTCGACAATCTCTAGTGAAACGGGTTCTAATGGTGTTGTAAACGATACTAATAATCTTGCTAATGGAAAGAATAATGAAAATAACAGCTCTGATTTGTCGGAGTGGACTTTGCTGGATTTGTATTCTGGTTGTGGAGCCATGTCCACAGGGCTTTGTTTGGGTGCATCTTTGGCAGGCATCAAACTTGTCACGGTATGTAGAATATTTTACATCAATCAAACTTATTTGAGTTGTTCTTTTGAGCAGTTTATAATGAATTTGTATTTGATTTTAAAGAGGTGGGCCGTTGACATTAATCCACATGCATGTAAAAGTTTGAAGTTAAATCACCCTGAAACTCAGGTAAGGTTTTGTTAATATGCCATAGTTTGCACTTGTCATTATATTTTCAGTCCTATGCTGACATTGCTTTGCTAAAATGACAATCAGGTCAGAAATGAGCCTGCGGAAAACTTTTTAAATCTAATAAAAGCTTGGGCTAAACTTTGTGAGGAGTTTTACTTGATAGGATCAGAACGTTCAGATTCTGATCCAGACATGGATGAAGACGGAGTTGATAATGATAGCGGTGATGTGAAAAATGAAGACACAGGAAATCAATCTGACTCTGAGGATTTTGAGGTGGAGAAGTTGCTAGCTGTTTGCTATGGAGATCCCAATGATATCAAGAAACCCGGACTATATTTTAAAGTATGTTGGCTTTATGTTTGCACTATACATTAATTGGTTTACATATTTAGTTTAATGTGTTAATGTTATTTGGATTGACTTATTCACCAAGAGTTCTTTGCTCCTCTTATGTTATTCTTTAAAACTTAATTGGTGTCTAAGGGAAAACAAATGCATGTGTGAATGAGTACCAATTTAGGTTGTAACCAAGCAAGCACGTACAATCCAATGCAATCATCATAGAATTTATGGCTTTGGTTTTTACATATCTTGAAGGGTATTTATTAGGCGTTATAAATCATTAATTTCATCGAAGCATGCTACGAAAATTTTCTCTGTATTAATGTAGATAGCAGTTCCTAAAATGGTGCAACATGTGCGGTATAGATATGACTATATTTATTGTGTTTGTTGAGATAAGATTTGTAGATAACTGTTTTTACAAATGTAGGACATTGATATGACCTAATGTTTCAAAAGAAAATGAAATATAGTTTGATATTAAACGATCAATAGTTTATACGCTTTTTTTAAAATCATAATTAACAAACTAAAATTACTAAATAATTGCTATTTGCAATAACTATTCTACCAATTAAGTTGATGTGGTGCTTGAACTTTGATTTTAACTGGCTTCCTCCTCTTATCTATTGAGATACTAAGAACACCTTTAGTAGTAAACTGAAAAAACAAATGTTTTTCAAAGGTGACATTAGTTTTTGGCAGCATGTCCCAATTTCATTGGATTTGATTTTATTCGATTTTCAAGTGTTAATAGAGCCTCCTATATTTTTTTTCATGTGCAATGAAAAAATTCCAGTTAATGATCAATCAGTCATTCTGCTGTTAAATCACGTAGGTGCGTTGGTTGGGTTATGATTCTAGTTACGACACATGGGAGCCAATAGAGGGATTGAGGTGTGTCCTTTTCATCAAAATTATTATTCTCCTCACCTTTGCTTTGTGATTTTTTTTTTGTTTGCTTCATAACACATTCAGCCAAATTCTTGCAAAGTTCTGACTCTAATTATGTTTGTGCCAGCGATTGCAAGGAGGTCTTGAAAGATTTTGTGACAAAAGGATACAAGAAAAAGTTATTGCCGCTTCCTGTTAGTCTCCATTCTTGAATAAACTTAAATTCTTGGCCTACACTCGAGCACTTGGTTCACTTATAAAGGTTTGTCAATTGATTTCGTGATACCTAACCCTTGTGCAGGGTGATGCTAATTTTATTTGCGGGGGCCCTCCTTGTCAAGGAGTAAGCGGTTTCAACCGTTTCAGGAACGCAGAAGCTCCATTAGAGGATAAAAAAAATGGGCAATTGATTGTTTACATGGATATTATTGATTTTCTGAAACCAAAATATGTCCTCATGGAGAATGTCGTTGATATTTTGAAGTTTTCTGGTGGTTATCTGGGGCGTTATGCCATAGGCCGTCTTGTGGCAATGAATTATCAAGCTAGAATGGGCATGATGGCAGCAGGGTCTTACGGCCTTCCACAATTTCGTATGCGTGTTTTCCTTTGGGGAGCTCGTCCTACTGAGGTAACATTATTGTGTATGCTTATAGGTTTTTTATTTTTTATTCTTTTCCTGTTGGTTAGATAAGGTTAATGTATGTTGTGAATGGTAAGGTACACGATTTATCTAATTTCTCTATTTGTTGGACAGAAATTGCCTCCATATCCGTTACCAACGCATGAGGTGGTTTCAAGAGGTTGGGTACCCACCGAGTTTGAAGTAAGGACTGGTAGATTCAGACATATTTCCTCTGTTGTCTTTGATTTTAAAATCAACTGGGTCTGATAGCTTCCATAATGCAGGAAATTACAGTAGCTTATGAAAGCAAAGAAACCTGTCAGCTGGCCGATGCTCTTGTACTTGAAGATGCTATATCAGATCTCCCACCTGTATGTTTATTTTGATCTGAAGTACATTTGTTAATGAAGTTTGTTGGATTGATATGAAAGTTTGATTTTTATCCCATTTCTTGCCTTTTTCTTTTTTTCTTTTTTCATTTTGCCCCCATTAATTAGGTTTCAAATGATGAGAGCCAAGATGAAAGGAAGTATGGAACTGTTGCTCGAACCGAGTTTCAGAAATATATTAGATTGAAGAAAAATGGTTCGCCTTTATATTTGTTTTTGCGTTTTAGAGCATGCTTATGTTATTTATACTTTGGTTTGATGTGCTTTCTTCTATATGCATGCGAAACTAATTAGCTAAGAACATCCTCCAAGATATTGTCGAATATTTCGTCGTGCTCTACGTTGCTTTTGTTATATATAGAATCGTGTTGTGGTGGTTGACTGTAGGGAATAATATTTGTCACGTTGCTTTCTTTTCTTGCATCATGCATGTAATGTTTACGTACAACATGAATATATATTTTTTTGTTTTGAGGATGTACAACATGAATATTGACATCATACGTTCTCTGTTTTGAAGAAATGGTGGGTAATTTGGCTACTGCTCAAAGAACACCATGTAGAATGCTGTGTGATCATCGTCCTCTGCAATTGAACAAAGATGATTATGACAGAGTTTGTCAGATTCCAAAGAAGAAGGTTTGATCTTATGCACCGTCAGAAAATTCTTTTAACTTCGGTCTAAATTTAGATTGTTTTTTATCACATTTTCAGGGTGCAAACTTCAGAGATCTATCTGGAGTACTTGTGAAGGATAACAAAGTTGAATGGGATCCATCGGTTGAAAGAGTGATGCTAGACTCAGGGAAACCTTTGGTATCAATCTTTTGCCACCTTTTCTTAGGGAGATTATTTAATACTAACCCTTTGTTGAGTACCAAAGCATTTTTGTCAAATTTGTATATTTTTTTATGGTCATGAATAGGTCCCTGATTATGCTATGAAATTTGTCCACGGGACCTCTTCCAAGTAAGTATATGCATATCACTTAATTTTTTTATGCTTTTGGTCCGTTTCTATAAAAAATCTTAATATAATGGGGAAAAAACACAGGCCATTTGGTCGTTTGTGGTGGGATGAAATTGTGCCAACAGTGGTGACAAGGGCCGAGCCTCATAACCAGGTTAGCATTTTTTGCTTTGTACATTATTTGATTTAATTTGGAAAACTAATGTCAATTATACAAAAATCAGTACAGATTTTTTTAATTAATGGTGTTGCATTTCAAGCAATGTTATTTTCAAAATGGTTTTCATGCATGCATTTTATAATTAAACTCATGTCTCTGGTTTATACGAATGTGAGTGGTAGTTTTCTCTTGGTTGTGTTCTTCTGCATGTATCATCATTATGCATTGTCTCCATGAAAATGTTATTTCATTGCTAGGTTATTCTCCACCCTGCACAAGATCGAGTTCTTACAATTCGAGAGAATGCGAGACTACAAGGGTTTCCTGATTGTTATAAACTTTGTGGGCCTATCAAGGAGAGGTATGATTAGCACTAATCAGGATTCAGAATCCAGTGATGAATTGGTCCATTTTTACTTTTTTAATTAGTTTGATTTTTTCTACGTGTCTGATCGTCACCCATTAAGTTTTCCAGTTAAATCATATACTAAATTCTTTTTCTTTTTGGCCCTGAATGTTTCTATACAGGTACATACAAGTTGGAAATGCTGTTGCTGTTCCTGTTGCTCTTGCATTGGGATATACATTTGGTTTGGCCTGCCAAGGATTGTGTGATGACAATCCTTTGAAAACACTCCCCTTTAAGTACCCAAGTTGTCTTGCCCAAACTGAGAATGATGACCATTCAAGTTGAGGCTGTTGCCGTTCTCTTTGCTGTTGCCATGTTAACCTTTTCCATTTCTAATCTAACTATTAATTTGAAGGCCGAAAAGTTGAACCAATGATTGTATGTACACTTGACATTGTTTATAATGATTTGAGATTCGCTTTCGGTGATTGTTTTGCAAAATTTAAGATGTATTTAGAATCTAGATATTGATCAGCGTAATGTGTGGTTTATATAATGTAAGTGTTAATATATACATATTAGGAGAGATTTATATAATTTAAGAGTAAGGTTATCTTAAATTTATTTTATAATAATTTATGATTTATATTAAATTTTAGCAGTTTAATCGATGAATTAAAAATTTTAAATATATAAATTAAGTTTGTAAGTTTTTAAAAATTTAAAATCTATCTAATACTTCATATTTAAATTTAAACCAATATATAAAATATTTTTATTTATTGGTTAATTAGAATTAATGAAATAAAATATTAAATAATTTTTATTTTTATTTTTAAAATCTGTTGTCTTTATTTGTATGTCAAGAATTTTTAATTTAATATTTAACGTAAGTTTATTTAAATTTATTCTATTCAATAATTTATATATATCAAATTTTAATGATATTGTCATTGAATTAAAAGTTATTAGTTCAGAGTAAATTTGTAAATTTTTTTAAAAAATTAAAAATTATAGAATATTTTGTTTCATTAATTCAAGTTTATTTTTTTTTAAATTTGTATACTTGATTCATGTGTTAAATATTTTTAATTTAATTATTGAAATACTAAAATTTGATATAAAATATAAGTTATTAAGTAAAATAAATTTAAATCATTAAGTAGACTTATTTTAAAAGTAAATGAATCTCTTTTATCTCTATATGATTTAGTTTGATGATATTAAAAATATTTATAAAAATATAACAAACATTTAAATTAAATAGTAGTAAAGTAATTGTTGAATTTATACAATAAAGACTCGTTAAAATTATATTAATTAAGCAATTTTTTAATTAATATTTGTATATAATATAATTGAGAGATATTAGAACATTTGAAAAATTAAAAATTACATTAAATTATAAAAAATATTTATTGTAAAATATTTGTTGAACTTATACGTAAAAGATGTATATTTATTAAAATTATATTAATTGTACAAATTATTTGTAAATTTATGCGTAATTTTTAATTTATAAATAAAAAATTGCATATTATAGAAAACATATATTTGTCAAATTTAGGTGACAATTAAAATTTTTTTATGTTAACATTAATTAGATATAAATTATCAATATTAAACTCCCACAAAGTTCTTGTTTTGAACTACTTAGAATTTTTAATATTAAAAAACTACTTTTTGAAATGTACTTTTGAAGTTTGTAAATAATTTTATTCACTACCTCTACATGGATATGGTTATCAGTCATAATGTAATAAAAACCTGTTTATGAACAAATTGATAAAAGCCTATTTGATAATTTGATATATATGATCATATTTCTTGCTTCACATTCATCTCTATAGCATGTACAGTGATAGAACTTCAAAGAAGAAACGTAAAAAAGAATGATGTTTGACTTTAAAATGTTATGATCTATAGTATCTATAATAACATCGCCCCCTTGACAATGGGACCGTAGGATACTTGTCCTTTATAGGTACCACAAGATTTCTCAAGAAAAGCATATAAGGGATACATTAAAACAGAATGAAATAACGAAGGAGTTGGTAACATCAACAAGGGAGACATAAGGGTTACAAGTCACTCGTGCACACGCCAAATAACCCATCATTTTGTAATGAAAAATTCAAAACTATATATAACTCAAATTGTTGTCCATTTGTCACATCCCACGAGATCCAGATCTCATCAATCTATCAGAAATTAAATTATTAGACCATTTTGCAGCACTAGCTCCTTGCAATTGATACAAGCCAGGTAATGGATATCACAAACTTAAAACAACATCATTTTTATATTTGAAATGAAGAGGCAATGTGGCAGCAAAGGAGGCAAAGTAGGTGATGACTAATGAGGTTTTCGGATTGCCAACACTCAGAGGACATGCCAGTTATTCATTACAAACCCATTTCAATATTACCATTCATGTATTATATCACAAATAATACTGCACAATGTTTGGCAGAGATGTGACAAGTTCACCAAATTATTAGGAAACACATGCAGGTACCACATGCTCAAGTTGATTATGAAATGTTAATTGCGCTGCCTATTATGTTGGCCAATAGGATTGAGTTATGAATTGCACCTATATATAGAGATTGAAGGAATTGGTGAGAGCACAAAAGCATTGAGCTTCCTTTGTAACAAAAAGAGTAACCATGGCAAACAAGTTCCATGTTCGCTCAAACAGTTTTCCTTGTGGATCTCATCCTACCACCACTAATGTAGAGGAACAGCTGAACAAGCTCAAAACTTGGGAAGCCACATCCACATCCTCATCCTCATCAAACTCCATTGCCACCGGCTTGTCCTTGCTTCAAGATTTGCATATTTGCTTGGAAGATTTTCTCAACTTGCCATCAACTCAAAAGATGATTTCCAACCATCAAGGTGAGAAATGTATGGAAGAGTTGTTGGATGGTTCAGTGAGAATCTTGGATGTATGTGGCATCACAAGGGACACCATGTTACAAATTAAGGAAAATGTTCAATCCCTTCATTCTGCTCTTAGAAGGAGAAAGGGGGATTCAAGCATTGAAAGAATTATAGCGGAATATAACTTATTCTCAAAGAAGATGAAGAAGAATGGCAAAAAGTTGATCACATCTTTGAAGCAGATGCAGACCAAATTTGGAGTATCCACACTCATGAATCAAGACCAACAACTTGCTGCTTTGGTTAGAGTGCTTAGGGAAGTGATTGTAATGAACATGTCTATCTTCCAATCCTTGCTAGCTTTCTTGGCCGTGCCTGCTTCAAAGTCAAAGGCGACCAAATGGTTACTAGTAGCAAAATTGATGCACAAGGGAGTGATATCATGCGAAGAGAACCAAGAGACTTCCAATGAGTTGCAGTGTGTGGAAGCATCTTTAAGCGACCTTCAAAGTGAAGGTAGTAATGTTGCAAAGATGCAGGTTGCACACGAAAGATTGGAAGCATTGGAGAATGCCATTGAAAGCATTGAAAATGGATTGGAGGGCGTATTCAGATGCATGGTTAAAACGAGAGCCGGCCTTCTGAACATCATGACTCAATAGAAATTATTAGTCATGGTTTTCTATCCAAATCCTGCAGAGCATCCAAAATTTAGGGATCTATTAAGGATTGGAAAATTTTGCCTCCATCAATTTGTACATGTATACAACTCGAAAATTATACAATCAAATACAACAAATGTTTATACTCTACATATTTTGATATATTTTTCATATTTATGGTGTTTCTCTGCCTAAACATTATATGGTTACTGATTAATATTGTCTGGAGAATAATGTCTAACTAGCAAACCCCTTCAACATTCCACAAAACCGGAATCAAGAGGCAATACACCTGAAGAAACTCTGTAGAACACACTAATATAAATATAAATATATATATATATATATATATATATATATAAAATAACAGAAAAAAGAAAAAAGAAGAAATACATAGCTATTCTGAGATGCAATCAACACATTCTCTGCTGGAGACTTGTTAACAGGAAAGTCATCCACCACACAGATAGCCTATCTCTCCCTTAGGACAGCCTCCTAAGCAAAGAACAATCACCCAATTTTCTACTACACTTATTGCCTCTGTGAAACTATAGGCGTAGAAGCAGCACAGTTCCATAATTCCAGACAAAAAGAATGCTAGCGACACTCTATAATCTTTATTTTTGGTTAAAAATTTATTAGAAATCACATTTTCGTGAGTTTCATTTAATGAGTATTTTTTCTGATCTACATGTTGGACTAATTAAAATTTGTGATTTCTTATAAATTCCAAGTTAAGGAGAGAACGTTAAGGAGATTGATATTAGCTTTCTTCTTTTGGATTTCTGGTGAACCCCAAAGCAAAAAATAAGAAGAAATCTGTAATCCAAAAACTGCAATAGCCGTTAACATAACTCCAATCCAGCAGCATCAGCCAACAAATACTAGCTAATGCTGCCTACAATAAGGCACAGGGTGATTGTCAACACTTCAATACAGAACATTTTAAAATATCATGTAAAAGAAAAAAAGACACACTATACAAATACTTCTCTATTCAACAATAGCACCCAAAATGCTAGCAACAAAATTTTCACCTCAGGAATTGAAATTGAAAATTTAAAAATTTCTTTTTATCACACTTGTTCAGTTGCATGATGCTAAAATCAATAAAGGTCCAACTAAAATCAATAAAGGCACTTCTTAAACTAATTTCAATATATGCAGATTTCACTAGCTAACAACCCATTGGAACTATGTCAACCATAGGTGCAGAAGGGATCTCAGTGAAAGAAATTTGTATAGATCACATTCTAGCCAAATTGAAATGCAATTATATGGACAAAATCACTTCATTAGGAGTTCCTATCTAGTTGATAATCTATTATCTATCTTAGTTTCACATAGAAATTTCACATATAAGACAAAAATACGGGTCTAAGGTGAAAGAGTATGAGGACTAATATTGTCGTTTACTTTTCGCTGCTTTATGATACTGTACTTAAAACATACAAGTGTTATATTTTCTACTCTCCCCTCCTTCCCGTAATAGCTAGCCTAAATAAGAGTATGATACGGCAGGATTAATTTATACAACAAAGTTGAGAGGATGGAAACATAATAACATTGCCAAATGTGATTAGAAAAATTACACGTAAAGAAAAGGTGTTTAGTTGTTTCCACAACCATTTTATTTTGAGTGAAGAAGATAGTGGGTCCTATAGGTTAAAAATTTACCCTCTAAGATGAGGGGATTGTCGCAGAATTGAGGAGAAAAGACAAAAATAGTCTTTATTTCTTTTGTATTATATGCATTCGTAATTGAAGAAGCAAAGCTCCATTCCATGTGTGATGCATTATTAAAAACAAAACTCCCTTCAGTGAGTAATACAATACGGTAATGCATTATGCTAATAGCTAATAACTAATAAATTATGCGTGAAAATCATCATATTTAAATATGGTAGAATCAGTAATACCATTACTAATAACTAATAACTAATAACTAAATCCTAAACCCTAATACATTATATTCATAAATATAGAAACAAGCGTGATAAAGAAAAGGGTAAAATTGTAATTATATATAATATTTACTTTTACATAAAAACTTACCTACATAAAATACAATTTTAAAATACTAACTTCCTGTTATTTCTCATCTAATTCTATCCTACCAATCAATTATAAATTCTATTCTATTTTCTATCAAATTAATTCTGACATATTCCTTCCCTTTCTTTTCAATTCCTCCCTCTCCCCGGAGCATAAGTCTCTCGCAGGATACTTGTCCTTTGTATGTACCACAGAATATATCATGAAAAGCAAATAGAGGAATGGAATTCTTCTTTGGTTAATTTAAAACAGAATGAAACAATGAAAGAGTTGGTAAAATCAATAAGGAAGACACAAGGGCTACAAGCCACTCGTGCACATGGGAAATAACCCATCATTTTGTTCTCCAAATTGTAATAAAAAAATTCAAAATTATATATAACTCAAATTGTTTTCCATTTGTCATATCCCTCGAGATCCGGAACTCATCAGTCCATAAGCCATTAAAATATTAGACCATTTTGCAGTTCTAGCTCCTTACCGTTGAGAGAAGCCAGGTAATGGATATAATTGAAGCTGAAATAACACCATTTTTATATTTGAAATGAAGAAACAATGTGGCAGCAAAGGAGGCAAAGTAGCTGATGACTAATCAAGTTTTCTGATTGCCAACACTCGGAGGACATGTCAATTATGCACCTCAAACCCATTTCAATATTATCATGCATGTATTATATCACAAATAATACTGCACAATGTTTGGCAGACTTGTGACAAGTTCACCAAATTATTAGGAAACACATGCGGGTACCACATGCTCACGTTTATTGTGAGAGATTGTAGCTGTGATGCCTATTTTGCTCACCAATAGGATTGAATTATGAATTGCACCTATATATAGAGATTGAAGAAATTGGTGAGAGCATAAAAACATTGAGCTTGAGTTTCCTTTGTAACAAAAAGAGTAACCATGGCAAACAAGTTCCATGTCCGCTCAAACAGTTTCCCTTGTGGATCTCATCCTACCACCACTAATGTAGAGGAAGAGCTGAACAAGCTCAAAACTTGGGAAGCCACATCCACATCCACATCAAACTCCATTGCCACCGGCTTGTCCTTGCTTCAAGATTTACATATTTGCTTGGAAGATCTTCTCAATTTGGAATCAACCCAAAAGCTGATTTCCAACCATCAAGGTGAGAAATGCGTGGAAGAGCTTCTGGATGGTTCAGTGAAAGTTTTGGATGTATGTGGCATCACAAGGGACACCATGTTTCAAATTAAGGAAAATGTTCAATCCCTTCATTCTTCTCTTAGAAGAAGAAAAGGGGACTCAAGCATCGAAAGAATCATAGCCGAATATAATTTCTTCTCAAAGAAGATGAAGAAGAATGCCAAGAAGATGATCACAACTTTGAAGCAGATGGAGACCAAATTTGGGGTATCCCCACTCTTAAATCAAGACCAACAACTCGCTGCTTTGGTTAGAGTGCTTAGGGAAGTCATTGTAATGAACATCTCTATCTACCGATCTCTGCTAGCTTTCTTGGCCGTGCCTGCTTCAAAGTCAATGGCTACCAAATGGTCACTAGTAGCAAAATTGATGCACAAGGGAGTGATATCATGCCAAGAGAACCAAGAGAATTCCAATGAGTTGAAGAGTGTGGAAGCATCTTTAAGCCACCTACAAAGTGAAGGTAGTAACGTTGCAAAGATGCAGGTTGCACATGAAAGATTGGAAGCATTGGAGAATGCCATTCAAAGAATAGAAAATGGATTGGAGAGTGTATTCAGGTGCATGGTTAAAACGAGAGCCTGCCTTCTGAACATCATGACTCAATAGAAATTATTAGTCATGGTTTTCTATCCAAATCCTTCAGAGCATCCAAAATTTAGGGATCTGCTGTGGATTGGAAAATTTTGACCCATCAATTTGTACATTATACAATTCAATAGTTATGGAATCAAATACAATGAAATATGTTTATACTGATATATTTTTGTTTTAAGTCACTTTTTTCCTTGAGAAAATCTTATTTTACATTTATCGTGTTTCTCTGGATAAACATTATAGTTACTTGATAGGAAATATGCGAGTAAAAACACTAGGGTATCATGTTAAGGCATTAAAGTTTATGGGTCCTAACTCAACTTGTGGATGTCTTCCCAGTGTGAGACTACTTCACTCACAATTGTCACTCCAACATTTGTTATTTGGCTACCAATTGTCTTTGGTTTAAACATGAATTATTATATGATTCTGAATTAATGTTTAGAAATTGGAGATCCTGAATATTGCTTCGCTGAAAATTGTCCTCATCCTATTCAGAGCATATGACAGTTCATGATCTGATGTGTCCAAGAACCAAAACTAGGGATTCAGTTCTAATTCATCATTCATGCTTTGAGGTCCCAACAAGTGTCGGAGAAGATCTTGGCTGTAGCTCTCTTTGATTCATCTTATGTAGATCAGCAGCTATGGAATCACAATCATAAGGCCTCTATTTGGTCAAATCCGGATATAAGTTGTTTTTGGAGATATTAATCATTTTAAGGTGGATGGTGACTGGAACTTAATCTGGAATTTGAAAGTGCCTATGTAGAGGATATCCTGTCCAGCATATTCTGTTTTATGTGAGGAGTCTTTGGAGAATTATTTCCATTTATTTCACCTACTCAAGCAAAATATCAGTTTGGGCGCTATTGTTCTTTGGTCTTGGATGGGTACTATTATAACAGAAGTTGATTCTTTTAAAGACATGGTCTTTAAATTGCGTGGCTTATTGAATGATAACAATAGTTTTGCAATAACCCTGTGGTGTCTTTGGAATAGAAGGAATTCTAAATGCTGGAATTCGGTGATAGAGCATGATGTGGGGGTAATTAATAGAGCTGAATTAGTTTTGGATGATTGGCGGTTGATCTAGCTCAATCTTTGGAGGAGGGGTTGATGTGATTTGGTTTAGGGTTTGCTGGAGTGGAATACTGATGCAACATTCTTCAAGGAATATGCATGATAAGATTTGGTTACTGTTTAAGGAATGATTTGGGTGAGTTCATATCGGCTAAGAGAGGTTGGATTAATTCTTTTATAAATGTCCAGGAGGGTGAATTATTATTAGGATACAAACAAGTCCTACATCGATAAAATATGATAAAAAATAATAACTTATAGCATAAACATACTTCAATGATTGAGAGGCCTTTTGGGTGATGACCAAAAGCAAAACCGTGAGGACTAAGACCCAAAGCGGATAATATCTCATCATTGTGGAGTATGCTTGTGTAATAACCTTATAAAATAAAACAACCCTCATAAAATATCCCCTCAAACGAATACCATAAAAATAACCCCATCAAATCTTATGTGTCACTAATGGTTGATCTTGGCTTTTATTCAGTGATTTTTAAATCTGATTGCAAGGTACTGGTTGTTCATATCCTAGTAATCAATGATTGAGAGGCCTTTTGGGTGATGACCAAAAGCAAAACCGTGAGGGCTAAGACCCAAAGCGGACAATATCTCATCATTGTGGAGTATGCTTGTGTAATAACCTTATAAAATAGAACAACCCTCATAAAATATCTTCTCAAACAAATACCATAAAAATAACCCCAACAGATCTTATGTGTCACTAATGGTTGATCTTGGCTTTTATTCAGTGATTTTTAAATCTGATTGCAAGGTACTGGTTGTTCATATCAAGGACCGAGCAAAAATATTTCTGAATAGGGAGTTTTGATCAATCATATTAGGAAGCTTTTTGAAGTCAATCTGAATTTTCAAGTTCTTTTTGTTAAGAGGCAAATTAATACAGTAGTGCATACTCTTGCTAGTTATTCTGTTGTTAATCCTAGTAATCAATATTTCTATTTTATTCCTTTTTTTTATTTACAATGGAAAAGAATTGAATTTGCTACTGTAAAAAAACGTAAAACTGAATGTTGAACCAATGAACTTTAAAAGATAAGTGGAATAGTGGGTGCAAGTGCCAATTCTACTGGTGTGTGTGCCATAACAGTTGAAGCAAATGGAGTAGGCGTGTCTCTTAACCATCAACTTTTTTAGGATGTCTCTATGGTTGAATTTGAAGTTTTATATACATCTAATTTTTAACATTTATGGTATGGTTAATATTTTATCTGGTACGATGCATAAGCTAAATATTTTTAGTACCTTATCATTTAAAATTTCATATCTACAATAATTTGTTAAAACTTAAAACTACAAAAACTGCCAAACTCATAGCATGCTTTGCCAAGTAATTAAATATTTATTAGAACAATAAAAATATGACAAAAGTCGTCAAGATTCAATATGCTTACTTCCACTGAGGTGCTGAACAAGCAGGGGGATGCAAGCTGTAGACCACCACCATTTGTTTCTACTACTGTGCCTAACAAGTGATGCAGAGACATGCCTTCTCGAGCCACTTACTACCTGATGCTGGCTGCAATAAAGCACAGGGTGACTGTCAACACTTGATAAAAACATATTAAAATATCATGTTAAAAAAAAAGACACTGTACAAATACTTCGCTAGTCAACAATAACATCCAAAATGCTAACCACAAATTTTCCACTTCAGGAATTGAAATTGAATATTTAAAAATCTCTATTTTATCACTTGTTCAGTTGCATGATGCTAGCCACTCACTGTGCAACTAAAGTCAGTAAGTTCTTCTTAAACTAATTGCAACATATGTAGATTTTCACTAACTGCCTATGGGAACAATGTCGACCATAGATGCAGAAGGGATCTCAGTAAAACATACTACTATAACTTATTTCTTACAAAATGAAATTTATTAAATATAAAATTATTTCTTGACTTCTGAGTAGTGCCTTAAATATCATAATTATCACTTATTGTTGAAAACATAACATTAAAAGAAAAAAACCGGGTGTATGACTAAACAAAATATAAGAGATTTGAACTATAAAATCTGCAACTTCACAAAAAAGGAAGCAAAAACTGATATAATATATTTGAAATATGAACTTAGTTTTGCATACATTAAAAGTGTTACAACAAATACTTAAATATTAAAACTAATTAACCCCCCATTGGATTAAGCAAACAGCTAATGATGATTAAGTAAACAAACAAAAATTATTTTCCTGCAACTGCAATTTACTTTTTTTATATAAACAACCTTCAACCAAACTTACAAGTAAAATAAAAAACGACAGAAACTTTAAAATATTTAATTAGGATAATGGAAAATTTCAACTGCCAACACCTATACTATTTAATTCTATGAATATTTTTGGAATAATATTCTAGCCAAATTTAATCATTTAGGAATGCAATTATATGGACAAAAATACCCCTCTTAATAAGAAGCTCCTGGCTGGTTTATGATCTATCCTAGCTTCACATACAAATTACACGAGACAAAAATATGGGTCTAAGGTGAGAGAGTATGAGAACTACTGAGGTCTTTTGCCTTTGGCTACTTTATGATATTGTGCTATTTTAGGGGTGTAATATTGTGAACTCTTCCCCTTAATAGCTGGTCTAAATAAGAGTATGTTAGAGCAGGTTTATATAAGAAAGTTGGGAGGACAGAATCATGGTTGGCTGTTTGTTCGTTTTGACTACATGTTAATTAGTCATCTGTGGGTATCAGTGAAACAGTTTTAGTAGGTGAATGCTGATAGACTTTATACAATATTCTAGTATTCGGAGACACCATGCATGCATTTATATTTAATCTGTCTATCATTATTTGAGTAACTAAATGAAAATAAGGTCAGTTTGGGTGAAAGAACTGTCTGATATTGTTGTACTTGCTAATCCTTGTCTATGCCGATGCTTTGTATTCAATGAGAACAAATGTTATATGCTTCATATTCAATGTGATTTCTTATGGAGCTTTGGTGTTGGTCTTTGTGTTGATTCCTTAATATAGATGTTTAGGCCCTGTTTACAATATTAACATGGTCCCCTTGACAGTGGGACCGTAGGATACTCGTCCTTTATAGGTACCACAATATTTCTCAAGAAAAGCAAATAAAGGAATTAAATTTTCTCGTTTAAAATAAAAAGAAATAATGAGAGTTGGTAAAATCAACAAGGCAAACCCTAAACCCTGTTACTATTGTTCTATAAATTGTATTCAAAATAATACGTAACTCAATATGTTGTCCATATGTCATAGCCAACAAGATCTGGATCTCATCGATCAAAGAGCCATATATTACACCATTTTGCAGCTCTAGCTCCTTGCCCTTGAGACAAGCCAGGTAATGGATATCACTGAAACTTAAACAACAACGTTTTTATATTTGAAATGAAGAGGCAATGTGGCAGCAAAGGAGGCAAAGTAGGCGATGACTAATGAGGTTTTCTGATTGCCAACACTTGGAGGACATGCCAGCTTTGCATCACAAACCCATTCAATATTAACATGCATGTATTATATCACAAATAGTGGTGCACAATGTTTGGCAGAAAAGTGACAAGTTCACTAAATTATTAGGAAACACATCAGGGTACCACATGCTCACGTTGATTGCGAGATTTTAGCTCTGCTTCCTATTTTGCTCACCTATAGGATTGAATTATGCATTGCACCTATATATAGAGTGAAGGAATTCGTGAGAGCACAAAAACATTGTGCTTCCTTTGAAAAAGAACAGAATACAAAAAGAATAACCATGGCAAACAAGTTCCACGTTCGGTCAAATAGTTTTCCTTCTGTATCTCATCCTAGCATCTCTAAAGTAGAGGAAGAGCTAAGCAAGCTCAAAACTTGGGAAGCCACATCCACTTCCACATCAAAGTCAATTGGCACTGGCTTGTCCTTGCTTCAAGATTTGCATATTTTCTTGGAAGGTCTTCTCAACTTGCAATCAACTCAGAAGATGATTTCCAACCATCAAGGTGAGAAATGCATGCAAGAATTGTTGGATGGTTCGGTGAGAATTTTGGATGTATGTGGCATCACAAGGGACACCTTGTCACAAATTAAGGAAAATGTTCAATCCCTTCATTCTTCTCTAAGAAGGAGAAAGGGGGATTCAAGCATTGAAAGAATAGTAGCCGAATATAATTTCTTCTCAAAGAAGATGAAGAAGAATGTCAAGAAGTTGATCACATCTTTGAAGCAGATGGAGACCAAATTTGGAGTGTCCCCACTCTTGAATCAAGACCAACAACTAGCTGCGTTGGTTAGAGTTCTTAGGGAAGTGATTGTAATGAACATGTCTATCTTCCAATCCTTGCTAGCTTTCTTGACCGTGCCTGCTTCAAAGTCAAAGGCGACCAACCGGTTACTAGTAGCAAAATTGATGCACAAGGGAGTGATATCATGCGAAGAGAACCAAGAGAATTCCAATGAGTTGCAGTGTGTGGAAGCATCTTTAAGCCACCTTCAAAGTGAAGGTAGTAATGTTGCAAAGATGCAGGCTGCACATGAAAGATTGGAAGCATTGGAGAATGCCATTCAAAGCATAGAAAATGGATTGGAGAGCGTATTCAGGCGCATGGTTAAAACGAGAGCCAGCCTTTTGAACATAATGACTCCATAGAAAATACTAGTCATAATTTTCTTTCCAAATCCTGCAGTGCATCCAACATTTAGGGATTTGCTGAGGATTGGAAAATTTTGCCTCCATCAATTTGTACATGTATACAATTCAAAAGTTATAGAATCAAATACATCAAATGTTTATACTCTACATATTTCGATATACTTTTCACATTTATCGTGTTTCTCTGGCTAAACATTATATAGTTACTAATTAATATTGGCTGGAGAACAATATCTAACTACCAAACCCCTTTAGTTACAAAAATTCCACAACCGAGCAGAACACACTAGAGAACAGAAAAAATAAAAATAAAAATAGAAAAAAAAACCGCATATAGATGTTAACAGAAAGAAAAGAATAAAAAAGATAATCACAGGAGCAATTCTGACATGCAAAATCCTTGCATCAACACTTCCTCTGCTGCTCAAGACCAGTTAGCAGAAAAGTCATCTACCACGGATAGCCTATCCCTTAGAACAGCCTCCCAAGCAAAGAACAATACCAATTTTCATTCCCACTAATTGCCTCTTCGAAACTATAGGCATAGTCACTATAGTTCCATAATTCTAGGCAAGAATAATGCTACGGACACTCTTTAACAATCTTTATTATTGGTTAAAATTTATTAGAAATCACATTTTCGTGGGTTTCATGTTTCATATAATGAGTATCTTTTCTGATTTCCAAGTAAGACTCACCAAAATTTGAAATTTTCTAATAAGTTCCAACAAGTTAAAAGGAGGGTGTTAGAGAGAGTGTTACTTAGCTTTCTTCCTTCAGCTTTAAGGTAAATCCCAAAGCAAACAGACCAGAAGAAATTTGCCATCCCAAGACTGCAAAGCCAATAACATAACTCCAATCCAGCGGCATCAACCAATAAAATACTAGCTGATGCTGGCTGCAATAAGGCAGGGTAACAGTCAGGACTTCAATACAAAACATATTAAAATATCATGTAAAAGAAAAAGATACAATACAAATAATTCTCTATTGAGCAATACTACTAGCACCCAAAATGCTAACCACGAAATTTTAACTTCAGGAATTGAAATTCAATATTTAAAAATCACTATTTTATCATTTGTTCAGTTGCATGATGCAAGCTACTTACCTTGCAACTAAAATCAATAAAGGTTCTTCTTAAACTAATTGCTATATGTAGATTTTCACTCAGCCTATGGGAACAATGTCAACTATAGGCGCAGGCGGGATCTCAGTGAAAGAAGTTCAATAGATTATATTCTAGCCAAATTTAATCAATAACGAATGCACTTATATGGACAAAGTCACCTCTCTTCATGAGAAGCACCTAGTTAGTTTATAATCTATCCTAGCTTCATATAAAAATTAAATGAGACAAAAATATGGGTCTAAGGTACAATATGAGAACTATGGTCTTTTGAGCTAGTCAAAATAAGAGTATGTTGGGGCATGTTTATATTAGAAAGTTGAGAAGATGAAATCATGGTTGGTTTCCTATTAGTTGTATCAGGTTAATTAGTACCATCATTGTAATTATGGTGGATAAAAAAAATGTTAATTAGTCATCTATGGGTATCAGTGGAAGAGTTTTAGTAGGTGAGGGAAATGTTGATAAATCTTGTACAATATTCTAGTACTTTGAGATACCATGCATGCATGTATATTTAAGAAAAAATCACTCTCACCTCCCATGAGGTCTGTTTAAATGACACACTTTTTCTCTAGTTTTTAAAAATTACTCATCTCCCTAAGAATAACATCATTAGTTAAAGTGAGAGAAAGAGAAAAAATAAAAATTAATTCATATATGTCTATCATATATGTGTTTATCATTCATTTATGAATTATATACAATGTTATGTCTTTTTTATGAAAATTTTCATTGTTTCTCAATTTTGAAAATAATAACTTCTCAACTCGTTTATTAAAATTATTTTTTGAAGTTAGTATATTTTTTAAAGCACAATATGCACGATGTTTAGTATATAATTTTAAAGTTAAAATTGAGTAAAAGATTAAATCTCATTCAATTATTTGACACTAATACTAATAATTTGTTTCTATTTTTCATAATAATGCAAAGATGGTATTATCTTTATATAAGAGATTGTATATGTTACATAAATAAATAAGAATTTTTTTTAAACACAAAAAAAATTGTATACTCTTTTTCTATTTCATTATTGGGTGTCTGAAATGTATTATGATTGAATTCTACTATCAAGTTTTGCAAAAAAGCTCAAATAGCTGAGAGGTAGAGATTGACGAGCAAGATGCGTCCTGAAACTACTTTATTGGCTACATGGTATCAGGAATAAAAAGAAAAATATTGGGAAGAAAGTATATTTTGTGATAGTATATACATGTTAGGGTTATTTTGTCAGTGTTTGTGTCATAAAGGTTATACCTGCTAACCTTGGTTGCACTCACTCATTCACAATTCTCTTAGAAATTGCAGAGGAAACTGAATACTGAACTTCTTATTTTTCATAATCCAATTCTGTACAATAGGGTCTATTTATAATTCTGACTTCCCACAGATACCCTTTTCCCTGGGCCATAATCCTAATTTCAACCGAAAACAACTAATAACAGAATCCAAACAGAATTAATCCTATATTTTTAATTCCCTTAATTTCCCATTATTACAATTTCCCCTTCTTCAAACTAGGATTTGTCCCCAAATCCTTACTCCACTTGCCACTTAAAATCCGGATATTGGATCTGCAGCTCATGTAATTCTTGCCATGTTGCATCCTCAGGGTTGGTGTGTTCCCACTGTACTAATACTTCAGTAATAGCTTTATTATTCTTCTTCTTCACTCTTCTATCCAATATGGCCAATGGTTTGATCAATAAGTCTCCTTCTTCATTAAATCTGGGTAATTGTTCTGAAACTACATGGCTGCCATGGTGCTTCTTTAATAATGACACATGAAATACATTGTGAATTCTGGTGTCTGCAGGAAGGTCCAATCTGTATGCTACTTTCCCAATTCTTTCAATAATCCTGTAAGGACCATAGTACCTAGCTGAAAGCTTGTGAAAAGATGTATTTGCCAAAGAGTGCTGCTTAAATGGTTGAATCTTCAAGTACACAAGATCACCGTCCTTAAATTCTTTGTCTGTCCTCTTTTTGTCTGCATACATCCTCATTCTCTCTTGAGCCTTATAGAGATTTTCTTGTAACATTCTTCCAATCTGCTCTCTTGTCTTCACCGTATACTCCACTGCCTCGATTAACGTCTCTCCATTGTCCACTAAATTGGGCATCGAAGGAACATAACCATATAAGGCCTCAAAAGGTGTCATTTGGGTGGCTGTATGGAACTTGGTGTTATACCATAATTCTGCCATTGCTAGATGATTTGTCCACTGTTTGGGCATACTTCCTGTAGCACATCTCAAGTAAGCTTCTAAAGACTTGTTAAGGTTCTCTGTCTGTCCATCAGTTTGAGGATGGAAAGCTGTGGATCTTAACAACTTAACACTATGTGACTGCATCAACCCTGTCCAGAAGTTGCTTAAGAAAATTGTATCTCTATCTGAAATGATTTCCTCTGGCCAGCCATGCAATCTCACCACTGTGTTCATGAATAACTCTGCTATTTTTGCTGCACTAAATGGATGTCCTAAAGCTATGAAATGAGCATACTTAGTGAATCTATCTATGATTACTAGTATGACACTCATCCCTTGAGACTTAGGCAACCCGGTGATAAAGTCCATGGAGATTGACTTCCAAGCTCTATTAGGTATAGGCAGAGGTTGAAGGAGCCCTGCAGGTAACTGATTTACTCATTTGAACCTTTGACAAGTGGCGCATTCCCTGATCCACCGCTTTACATCCCTTTGTAATCCTTTCCAATAAAATTGTTCCTTAATTCTTCTGTAGGTAAGGTCCACTCCCGAATGTCCACCAATGGAAGAATCATGAAAATGACTGAGAATTTTGTTTCTTAAGTCCTGTTGAGCACCTACAACCACTTTACCTTTTCTTTTTAACAGAACACCTTGAAACGTGTAGTGCTTATAAGGCTGCTGTGTAAGTCGTATCTTATCCACCAATTTATGCAATTTTGGATCTGTCTTCCAAGATTCAATGGCTTCAGTCATTAAACGAGATGAAAAATGTAGTATTGCAGCTACACTTGCATTCTGTCCCACTCTTGACAATGTATCGGCCACCACATTCTCCTTCCCCTTTTTGTATTCTATGCTGAAATCAAGGCCCATAAGTTTCTCTAGACCCCAGTTTTGCATCAACGTAGTTGGAGGCTGCAATAATAAGTGCTTAAGAGCTTTTTGATCAGTCTTTATGAGAAAATGTTGTCCCCATAAGTAGTGCTGCCATTTTTTTATAGCAAATAAGACTGCATAGAACTCCTTCTCATATGCAGAAAATAACTTGTATTTAGGTCCCATTGCTTTGCTGATGTACGCAATAGGGTGCCCATTTTGCAGAAGAACAGCCCCAATGCCTCCCCCCGATGCATCTGTCTCAATGGTGAAAGGTTGTTTGAAGTCAGGCAGCCTTAATACTGGTGCAGACATGAGTGCCTGTTTAAGCTTTTGAAATGCAACCGCTGTTTCTTCAGTCCACTTGAATGCCTTCTCCTTTTTCAACAATTCCGTTAATGGTGCGGCAATCTTTCCATAATTCAAGATGAACCTTCTGTAATAGCCTGAGAGACCTAAAAATCCTCTTAATTCCTTAACTGATGTTGGTGTTGGCCATTGTTGAATTGCTGAAATCTTGTCATTGTCTGGTTGTACCCCTTGAATTGAAATCACATGGCCCAAATACGTTATTTTCTTCTTCCCAAAACTACATTTTTTTATAGTTGACCACCAAGGCATTTTCCTCCAAAATATGTAATGTTGTAGTCAAGCATTCCAAATGATCACTCCAGGTCTGGGTATAGACTAATATGTCATCAAAGAATACTAAAATAAACTTCCTTAAATAACTTCTGAAAATATCATTCATGATTGATTGGAATGTGGCAGGAGCATTACATAAACCAAAAGGCAAAACAACCCACTCATAGTGTCCACTGTGGGTTCTAAAAGCTGTTTTATGTATATCCTCCTCAGCCATTCTTACTTGGTTATACCCACTTCTGAGATCCAGTTTGGAAAAGTAACATTCCCCATTTAATTCATCCAGCAAATCCTCTATTAATGGCATAGGGAACTTATTCTTGATGGTGAATGCATTAAGTTTTCTAAAATCGGTGCAACACCTCCATGAGCCATCCTTCTTTTTGACCAACACCAAGGGAGAAGCATAAGAGCTAGTACTTTCCCGTATAAATCCCTTTTCTAATAATCCCTGCACTTGTCTTTCAATTTCTTCTTTTTGGGCATGTGGGTATCTATAAGGTTTCAAACAAACCGGTGTGTCGTTGATCAGAATGATCTTGTGATCACTTTTCCGCCTAGGTGGCAATTTTGTTGGTTCCACAAATAACTGCTGAAATTGCTGTAGAAGTGTTGTGAGTTCCTGTTGTTGTTCTGTTGTTAGTGTCTCTTGATCCCCTGTATCAGCAACATTCAGTAAAGCTGAACCGTGCAATGCAAGAAACATGCAGCTACTTTGGACCATTTTAAGCTTCCCAGTCAATTCTTGAACTTCTGCACTTGGTTGTTCACCTTGCAATGTCACCTCTTGGCCTTGATGATTAAATCTCATAGTAAGAGTTGCACAGTTCCAGTAAATTTCTCCCAGTGTCTTGAACCATTGCATTCCCAAGATGATCCCGAATGTTTTGCTAGGTAACACTAAGAAGTCTGCTGTAAATGTATGATCACTGAATCTCCATGTTGTCTGTTCACACTTCCTAGTGATTAGGAGTTTTTTATCTGAAGCCACAGTTACCGGGAAATCCTTGACAAATTGTGTTTTCAACCCAAGCACTTTTACCCACTTGTCACTGATAAAATTATGTGTACTCCCAGTGTCCATCAGAAAAGGTACTTTCTGGTGTTTGATTAATCCTTTCAGCTGTAATGTATTGCCACCCGCTATGCCTTGTAAAGCATTGAGTGAAATGTGGACCTCTTCATCTTGAATCATGGCTATGCTTCTATCTACGATTGCTTGTTCTTCCTCACAATCCTTGTCCTGCATGATATCCTCAGCTATTTCTTCTTGAGCAGAAAAAATTGCATTTAGTTTACCCCATACTTTACATTTCATCTTATGGTTTTTATCCCACTTATCTCCACAAAATCTACACAAACCCTTAGCAATCCTATCGCTAACTTCCTTCCTAGAAATAGAAGCTGATGTGTTAATTTTAGAATCTGATGTTACCGGTGAAGACATTGATGACATAGGATGGTTTTGTTGCAGATTTGTGATAGAATGGCTCCTTTGAGAAGTACCTGGTCCTGACCACGATCTTGTGTATCTTGTTTGTGTTTCAAGACTGCTAGTTTTTCTTTGTTGCATCTTCTTTTCCCATTCTTTAAGAATTTCTTCTTGGAGTCTTGCAATATGCACAGCTTCTTGCAAGGACTGAGGTTTGTGGACTCAGATGGATTTTTCTAGATCACTCTTCAATCCGGACAAAAAGAAACTTAATGCCATGGATTCTGTCACTGCTACACGAGCCAGCAAAGAATCAAATGTTTCCAAATATTCCCCCAAATCCCCTTCCTGTTTCAATCTTGCTAACTCCGCAACCGGGTCATCAAATGCACTGTCATCAAACCGATATGCCACATCTTGTAGAATTTGTTCCCAAGATTTATCCTTGAATCTGGGTTGCTGCATATAATGTCTTTGCCATGAGAAGGCTTTGCCATCCATGGATAAAAGCAGTAACTTCCCACGTTGTGCCATCGGGGTATCCTCTAATTCAAAAAACTGCTCAGCTTTTGCTCTCCGTTCCCGAAAGTTGGTTCCATCGAATGTAGGGAATTGAATGTGCGCTCGTTCTATTACTGATTGACTGGAATCTACTGTGTTTGTGACAGCTGCTTCGTTTGTCACGATTATGTTGCCACCATTGATGGATGTTATGGAAGAGACGAGACTCTCTATCGTTTTCTGCAGCGAATCCAAAGTTTTCTGGGTTGATTCTTGTGCGTCTGTAAATTTCTGTTCAAATGTCTCCATGCGGGTTTTGAGTTCCTTCATGGTCACCATTGTCCCAACGTCCCACGCTAACTGATACCAATGTCATAAAGGTTATACCTGCTAACCTTGGTTGCACTCACTCATTCACAATTCTCTTAGAAATTGCAGAGGAAACTGAATACTGAACTTCTTATTTTTCATAATCCAATTCTGTACAATAGGGTCTATTTATAATTCTGACTTCCCACAGATACCCTTTTCCCTGGGCCATAATCCTAATTTCAACCGAAAACAACTAATAACAGAATCCAAACAGAATTAATCCTATATTTTTAATTCCCTTAATTTCCCATTATTACAGTTTGAGGGATATTACACAACTACTAAATTAAGGTTTATGACTAGGCAATAGTAGAGCCAAGAGTAAATAGAAATGATGTGTGCACACAAAATCTTTATCACCTTTGATTTTGAGAGTTGGAAATTTGTGATGTTTCCGTAATCATGTTTTTTTGTTTAACCTGACCAGTTAAAAAAATAGCATCGCCACCTTGACAATGGGACCGTAGGATACTTGTCCTTTATAGGTACCACAAGATTTCTCAAGAAAAGCATGTAAGGAATAAGAGATTAAAACAGAATGAAATAACAAAAGAGTTGGTAACATCAACAAGGGAGACATAAGTGATACAAGCCACTTGTGCACAACCGAAATAACCCATCATTTTATTCTCCAAATTGAAATATAAAAAATTCAAAATTGTATATAACTCAAATTGTTGTCCATTTGTTATACCCCACAAGATCCGAATCTCATCAATATATAAGCCATTAATTTATTACACCATATTGCAATTTTAGCTCCTTGCCATTGAGACAAGCCAAGTAATGCATATTCTTGAAGCTGAAACGACACCATTTTTATATTTGAAATGAAGAGGCAATGTGGCAGCAAAGGAGGCAAAGTTGGTGATGACTAATGAGGCTTTCTGATTGCCAACACTAGGAGGACATGCCAGTCATGCATCACAAACCCATTTCAATGATTATGGCCTTATTATATCACAAATAAAAGTGCACAATGTTTGGCAGAGATGTGACAAGTTCACCAAATTATTAGGAAACACGTGCTGGTACCACATGTTCACATTGATTACAAAATGTTAACTGTGCTGCCAATTATGTTGACCTAAAGGATTGAATTATGAATTTCACCTATATAGAGAGAGTGAAGGGATTGGTGAGAGCACAAAAACATTGAGCTTCCTTTGTAACAAAAAGAGTAATCATGGCAAACAAGTTCCATGTTCGCTCAAATAGTTTTCCTTCTGTATCTCATCCTAGCATCTCTAAAGTAGAGGAAGAGCTGAGCAAGCTCAAAACTTGGGAAGCCACATCCACTTCCACATCAAAGTCAATTGGCATTGGCTTGTCCTTGCTTCAAGATTTGCATATTTGCTTGGAAGGTCTTCTCAACTTGCCATCAACTCAAAAGATGATTTCCAACCATCAAGGTGAGAAATGCATGGAAGAATTGTTGGATGGTTCAGTGAGAATTTTGGATGTATGTGGCATCACAAGGGACACCATGTTACAAATTAAGGAAAATGTTCAATCCCTTCATTCTGCTCTTAGAAGGAGAAAGGGGGATTCAAGCATTGAAAGAATTGTAGCCGAATATAATTTCTTCTCAAAGAAGATGAAGAAGAATGCCAAGAAGTTGATCACATCTTTGAAGCAGATGGAGACCAAATTTGGAGTATCCCCACTCTTGAATCAAGACCAACAACTCGCTTCTTTGGTCATAGTGCTTAGGGAAGTCATTGCAATGAACATGTCTATCTTCCAATCCCTGTTATCAGATTCTTCCAGTTTATTTTCTCGTAAATTCTTCTATTAGGTTCTCATGCATTCTTGCTAGTCCAAAAAATCAAAGGTCTCTATTTCATTAACCCATTTGCTAGCTCAAGTCTTTTATAAGAATAATTGATCTTAACAGGACTGGCAACATACAAATCACATGTGAATATTCGTAAGTTAATACTTCTTTGTCTTATATAAACCTTGGGAGGACCACATCACAAAAGTAGGTCGTTATAGTTGGAGACCCCAAAATCTTATAAACCTCACACTAGAATTCCATACTACCCATGGGAGATTCAAGTTACATACCCTGCAATTTGATCCTACCATCTCGCCACACACTCCACAGCCCTAGCACCCACAGAGGCTGGCTATGAAATAGCTCTTTGACTTGTCCTAGGTAACACTACAATGCCAACATCACCACCTGCACCACTCGTTTGCAGCTGAGACATAGCAGAAAGCTTTGATACTAATTGATAAAAACCTTGGGAAAATCACAACACCAAAGCAAGTCATTGTAGTTGGAGAGCTCAAGTCCTTATAAACCCACACTAGAATCCAATACTTTGCAATTGGATCCTAAGGTGTTTTTCTTGGATAATTGAAAACAATGTTTTCAGGATTCCTGGAGAGCATATGATGGGTCCTACCTGGGAGCAGTTTCTGTTGGTCCATGTTCAAGAAAAAAGAAAACAAGGATTATTTTGAAGCAATGGGTGATGTATGTAATGTAATCCTTTAGTGAGCTTGATTGGGGTAATGCCCACATGTTTAAAGGGGTCTCTTTTCCTCCTAAATTTTGCTGTTTTTTACTTCTCTTTTTTTTTTCTTGTTCAATGATATATTTAGTTTTGGAGGATATGTTGTTCACCTCTGGATATAGGAAATTGTACAATCAACAAATTGGTAAGACTAATCAATAAAAAGACTTGAAAGAAGTGACTCATATTAAGGATTCTGCAAACAAGTAATTGTGACTGATAGTCAAAGAGACTTGGATCAATCACCAACACTTACCAGAGGCTGCTAATATATTTTAATACACCAAAAGGATTAAACTTTATGCCTTTATTCTATTAAGAAAAATTTATCCATACCTCAAAAGGGTGTTGTACAATTTCCTCTGGTTTCTTTTTTGAACTCGGCATGGTAGATGGTCTCAAGCTGAAATACAAAAATGATTAAATCACATCAATATAAAGTTAACACAAAATGGAATTGCCAGTCAAAACTTTACAAGGATAACTAACAAAAGTTACAACAGAACTTCATTGCCACCTCCTACTCCATCAGTGGAGAGAAAAATACAATAAGGAATGAAAACATTTAATACTTCAATTTTAAGAACCTTGTGTATCCCACTATCCAAATACCCCAAACTACAGAAACAAATGCACAGAACACGCATACATATATATAAATGGACAAGAAATAAAGCCTCATTGAAGGGTATCACGGAGGCAATGCACTATAAATGAACACAAGACAAGCTATATAATAATTTCAAACTAACAAAACCAAGAAAACTAGAAAAGCTAATTGAAAAAGAATAATAGATAACACAATTAATATCCTCTCAAGCGGACCCCCAGATTTTTCCTCGTCGTGAAGATTGAAACTGTCCAAGTCATAGGACCCTGCCATCATTTACTTCGTATGTCCAACTCATTGTATGCTGATCCCTGATTTTTTTTCTTAAAAATAAGTAAATGATCATTAACCAAGAAAAGTTAGAAACTTACACTAAATTTTCTGGCATATCTTTTGGAGCAAAAATTGGAGGCACTATAATCATAACATCCTCATGATCCAGATCAATGAAACCACCCTTATCTACAACAAAACATGAAGCAAGCCACAAACTTTGTAAAATAGCCATTAAACACACTTCAAACATTAAACCGAAGAACATAAACACTGAAACGAAATATTCACCAAAATGTGGTTCTTCGAGCTCTGACCAGTTTCGCTTCTTCCTCCGAGCAACATCAGCATGAACAGGAATCACATGTTGGTAGTCCGCCATTCCTTCACAATTTTGATATACAAAACAAAAGCAACCACATAACTTGCTTAGGAAGTCGCATAAAGCTAACTAATCTCTACACAAAAACACCAAAACCAAACCTATTTCGAGTGTCTAACCATCAAAAAAATAAGCCTCAGGAACACGAGCAACAATATCAGCACAAAGACTTCCCTCTTGGCCACGTACACTTTCTGGTTGATTTTCTTGCTCCCTATTTTTCACTCCAGAGCTGCTACAAGCTTCGGCATCATGAGCATTTGGTGGTTTTCTCTTGGATATTTTGAGAAGCAAATTGTTGGTGGGACGAAGCTCCCCAAATGCAGGATGCGAATATGGGTCTTCAGGGCGAAATCGAAGCTCTAACTTGTTTGGTTGTGAATTACGAGCCTACAAATGTCACTCCACAAGAAAAAATTAACATAAATTGCAATCCGTGTGAAGAAAGAAAATTTATACATACTTATACAATTTTTTGTATCCATAGATATATCAAACTCAGTATCAGGAAATTCACAACAGCTCATACACCATGTTCATTGGTACATACTCATACATATAGTATAATAATTGGCAATGACATTAACTAATTCAATAATATGATAAAATTTAGCTTGCCTATACCTTAAGAATACCTTGAATTCCCCCAAGAGTGTCAACAGCTCGAGAGATGGATGATGGATAAGCAGGATAGTGCACCAAAAACCCTTGAGGGTCCGGTATAACCCCTGAGATTGTTCCATCGTTATTCAGGTATATGTCACCTAGTAGCTACATGTTTTCAGAATGTGATCTTTCCCATCTCTGGCTGAAAACAAATGTCAAATTAACCTTATCACCTTTGACAAATAAACTGCCATTTGATTTAAGTAACAATGATTTACTAAAAATAGAATGAGGAATTTTTATTATATTTTTTTGAGGAAATTTGGGATGTTCTGTTATATGTTTCTTCTGGTCAAAATCCTATATTTGGGATTTTACTTTCATAATTCATAGATACTCGATTGATAAATAAGCCAGTCAATTACAAGTCATTTCGGCTTTACTAGATCATATTAATTCCTCCGCTAATTTAGATAGCAGGGTTTGGGATCAGATTCTTCAAGTTTATTTTCTCGTAAATTCTTCTATTAGGTTCTCATGCATTCTTGCTAGTCCAAAAAATCAAAGGTCTCTATTTCATTAACCCATTTGCTAGCTCAAGTCTTTTATAAGAATAATTGATCTTAACAGGACTGGCAACATACAAATCACATGTGAATATTCGTAAGTTAATACTTCTTTGTCTTATATAAACCTTGGGAGGACCACATCACAAAAGTAGGTCGTTATAGTTGGAGACCCCAAAATCTTATAAACCTCACACTAGAATTCCATACTACCCATGGGAGATTCAAGTTACATACCCTGCAATTTGATCCTACCATCTCGCCACTCCCGGATATCTTGGATATCTCGAATATCTCGGATATCTCGAATATCTCTAGAAATTTAAGATTATCCAACATTATCTTTCTTGGTCGTGCCTGCTTCAAAGTCAAAGGCGACCAAATGGTTACTATTAGCAAAATTGATGCACAAGGGAGTGATAGCATGTGAAGAGAACCGAGAGAATTCCAATGAGTTGCAGTGTGTGGACGCATCTTTAAGCAACCTTCTAAGTGAAGGTACTAATGTTGCAAAGATGCAGGCTGCACATGAAAGATTGGAAGCATTGGAGAATTCCATTGAAAGCATAGAAAATGGATTGGAAAGCGTATTCAGGCGCATGGTTAAAACGAGAGCCAGCCTTTTGAACATCATGACCCAATAGAAATTATTAGTCATGGTTTTCTATCCAAATCCTGCAGTGCATCCAAAATTTAGGGATCTGCTGAGAATTGGAAAATTTTGCCTCATTGTAAATATATACAATTCAGAAGTTATACAATCAAATACAGCAAATATTGATACTCTACATATTTCGATATATTTTTCTTGTTTTAAATAAGTTTTCTTTTTATTTTTTGTAGAGAACATACTTTCACATTTACCATGTTTCTCTGGCTAAACATTATATATTTTTACTAATTAACTGTGGCTGGAAGATAATGTCTAACTGGCAAAAACCCCTTTACAAAACCTTGCACAAAACCAGAATCAAAAGGCACTGTCCCTTAACAAACACAGAAGTACACACTAGAGAAACTGATAAAAACTCCAATTTGGAAGATAACAGGGAAAAAAAAAAAAACTAGTTTTGACATGCAAAATCTGCATCAACACTTCCTATACTCAAGACTCGAAAACAGAAAAGTCAACCACCATAGATAGCCTATCTCTTACTTTGACAGCCTTCCAATCAAAGAACAATACCCAATGTTCACCTATACTAATTGCCTCCGCAAAACTATAGGCCTAGTTCCATAATTCCTGGTTCTTAAGAACGTGTGTTTAATTATAACTCAATCCTAATTTGCTACTATAGTGTTTAACCATAGATATAGTTTCATATTTCAAGGTTCTTAAGAACATGAGTTTAGGATAACTTAATTCTATAAAACTAATCTACACTAAAGGATGGGTACTCCTAAAATCATGTCTTACATGTTGGGTACTCACGGGTACGTATCAAAAACATTTTTCAAAATTTTTTTTGAGTACTTTGTTAGGTACTTATGAGTACTATTTGGGTACATATTAATCACGTACCTATAGTCTGATAAATAAAAGTATCATCCTTTAGTGAAGAAATTTTTTTAAAAAAAAAATATTTGTTCTTGCTATATCATTCATGTTGTAGTTATGTCTCCTTGCTATAAGGTGAGGATTTTCCTTACTTATGTACTTTATTTTTCAACTGTTTTAGATTTTAAACTATTATTAATGTAGTAACATTCTTCATCATATACTTAAAAGTGAAAACTCAGCACAAAGCAAAGGAATCTCTGGTAAAATAAAGTGAGTACAAACATGGGCAAATGCCACTCGTTCACACACGCACCAAACTAATCTAATTCTATAGTTTGCGCATCATTTTGTCCTTTGAATTGCAATCAACTTATCTGTCACATCGATTATTGTACATTTTCTTATATGATGAGTGATTAGGATCTCAACCTACCGAAAACAGCTTCAATTCAATTTTTCAGCCCATGCGCCTTCATATTGAGACAACTCAGTGGACATCTCTAAAGCAATAAGCAGCACCAAATTTTATAAGAAATCAAGAAAGGTAACGTGGCAGCATAGGAGGCAAACCACAAAATAATTGATGAGTAATGAAGTTTCTGATTACCAACACTTGGAGGACATGCCAGTTATACACCAAAAACCCATTTTACTACCATTGTGTCTAGCAAAATATCACATGTAATCTCAGAGTGTTGGGCAGAGGTGTGACAGTCTTACCAAATTCAAAGGGAATCCCATGCGGGTACCACATGTTCTCTCTACACGTTGATTAAGAGAGGTGAACTTATCTGTGTTTTTGGCCTATAGGAATCAAAAGAACATGATTAATGAATTATCAATGGCCACTATATAAAGAGTTAAAGGACTAGTTAAGACCACAAAAACATTGAACTTTCTCTTAAAATAGAACAAACAACAAAAGAGAAATAAACCATGGCTAGCATGTACCATGTTCGCTCAAATAGTTTTCCTTCTGGATCACATCCCAGTTCCATCAGAATAGAGGAAGAACTAAGCAGAATGAAGACATGGGAAGCCACGTCCAAGTCCACTTCTGAGTCAATTGGCACTGGCTTATCCTTAATTGAAGATTTGTATATTTGCTTGGAGGATCTTCTCAAAGTGGCATCAACCCAAAAAGTGATTTCTAACCATCAAGGTGAGAAATGCATGGAAGAACTGCTGGATGGTTCAGTGGGAATTTTGGATATCTGTGGCATCTTAAGGAACACTATGTCACAAGTTAAGGAAAATGTTCAAGCCATTCATTCAACTCTTCGAAGGAGAAAGGGGGATTCAAGCATCGAAAAAAGTGTAGCCGAATATACTTCCTTCACAAGAAAGATGAAGAAGAATGCCAAGAAGTTGATGGTATCTTTAAAGCAAATGGAAACAAAATTTGGTGTATCCCCTACTTTGAATCAAGATCAAGACCTTGCTGCTGTGATAAGAGTTCTCAGGGAGGTTATTACAATGAACATGTCCATCTTCCAATCCCTTTTATCTTACTTGGCTGGACCTGCTTCAAAGTCAAAGGCAACTAAATGGTTGATGGTGGCAAGATTGATGCATACGAGGGTAATATCATGTGAAGAAAACTCTGAGAATTTCAATGAGTTGCAGTGTGTGGAAGGATCTCTAAGCACCCTTCTGAGTGATGGTACTAATGTTTTGAAGATGCAGGCTGTGCGTGACAGATTGGAGGCTTTGGAAAATGCAATTGAAATCCTAGAAAATGGTTTGGAGAGAATGTTTAGGCGGTTGGTCAGAACGAGAGCCAACCTTTTGAACATAATGACTCAATAGAGAGTGCTCAATTGTAATTTTCTCTCCAAATCCTGCTAAGCATCCAAATTGCAGGGTCCTGCTGAGGATGCAGAAATTTTGGCTCATCAATTTTGTACATGTATATACAATTCAATAGTTACACAATCAAATACAACGAAATGTTCATAGACTAAGTTTTGATTTCTTCTGTTTTAAGTCACCTTTTTCTTTAAAAACCGTACGTTCCTACCTTTATGTTTGTTTTGTTAACCTTTATGAAAGTAATTTCCAGAATATTAACAAAACTCTTCCAAAAAGTATGATTAACAAAAACAAATCAAGTACTCTCTTAAAGAGTGAACGATGTTTGGAAAAGTACTTGCTAGAAAAATGAATAATATGTTCCCTAAAAGCAAGTGATTATATTGTTTCAAAAAATATTTTTCATGATTGAAAAAATGAGGATTTGCTTCATACCTCATTGTACAATGTGGATGTTGATTACAATAGAACAAGTACAAATAAAAGTGCATGACTTTGACATAGTATCCATTCCTAGATAATACCTTTTAAGGTATTCTACTGTAAAATTAGATGCAGATAAATTTATCACTAACAAAAAAATGATATTCTAAAATGTAATATTAGACAATGCAAGTCTGAATCTTATTGTAGAAAAGCACCGATATCTAATTTAGTATGGTGAATTGGTGATAACATCTCATAAGGGCAGCATTATAGAATATAGATGAATGATTGAGAATTGGTGTAACTCTTTTAGAGTTGTACAGATATCAATTTGAACCCTCCTCATAAAAAAAAATTTACATGAATTTTTTGTTTCAATTTTCTATACCTAAAATATTCTTTATAGAAATCTTTTTAAAATAAATATCAACATAATTTTATTATTTATATGCATTTTAAAACTACTTATAATTAATAATTAATAATTAATATAATTAATATTTCATCATGTTATTACAGTTTTAACTTGCTATATTTATATTCGTTTAAAAACTATTCATCATTAATAATTAATATATCATGTCATTACAGTTTTAATTTGCTATAATGATTTTTTTTTGGAAGACTCGTAGGAAAATAATATTATGAAGGAAAATTATTGCATACAAATAATATAGAAAATGAATAACTATTGTAAGAAGAATTTATGATTCGCTGTTTTATAACAAAATATTTTTTAATGATATTTGTTTTGATATTTGAACTTTTTTTCACGCATAAGATATTATTAGTATTTTAATATGTGTATTTTCTAAGTTAAATTTTTATTATATATAGCAAAAATTATTAAATTATATAGACAAATAAATAATATATTTAAATATTTAAATTTTGTATAAATAAATATTTTGAAAAATCTAAATTATATTTTAGATTTAAGATATGTAATTGACACAAAATTATTTTTAATTATTGATAATTTTTATAAAATATTAAAATTTAATTTATAAAAAATATTATGAATAAAAAATTAAATTAAATAAAAAGTTAAAAAAAAATCGCTTAACACGCTTTGATTGAAAACTTACCCTAAAAATTTTTATGGGCAAATTTCCACGTTAAAAGAATTAGATAAATAAATTGGATTACATAAAAAATTATCAAATTTCTTACCATCGCTCTTATTGAATAATAATTCTTAAAAAAAACTATTGCATAAACTAATTGTGCACAATATTATCATTTACATATAATATATAAGAATTATAAGAGTTGATTATATCCTAAACACGTGTTAATAAAAATGATGAAATTAAGTATACGATGTTGTAGAGAGGGTGCATTTAGCAAATGGGGAAAGTGTAAATACTATATAACAAAAACCCAAACGAGGGTGTGATATTATTTGCAAGTCCAAAGAAAATGAGACCCAAAATAAAGAGAACTTCAATAAAAGTCCAACAAGCATAAAATATGAAGATATTTGGAGATATTAAGTTACTATTAAAAAGTAGGATATGTTTTTATTTATTTTTTAGATTTATTTCCTCTATTACAATGAAAATATTATATTATTATATATTTATATTTTTGAGATTTGTTTCTTCTATTAGGACAAATCTCTTATTTTATTACTAGGATTTATCCCAGATAACATTAAAAATTATAGTTATTATGGCCTGTTTAGGATTTATTCTCTGACTTTTTTTTTCTACTATTGAATACCACGTTTTACTGATGTATTAAATAAATTGTAATTGAAAAGTGGTAATGAGTCTCTTTAAAATATTGGTTAAGAAATATTATGTTTAAAACATACTTGGAAAGTGTTTGGAGGATGTGAAATGAAATGGTTAAGAAGAGTGATGAGAGATATGGAAATTAATTGCCGCATGCTTGATTCTAGAGGTATATATGGAAAGTGTGATCAAGCAATTGTGCAATTTATATATAATATAGATATGCTAGTATTTTTTTCAATATTAATGCATCTTTTATTGAAAAGTAACATGCATTTTTGTTTTGATAAAGTAGATACAAGAGTTAATGATTACTTTTTGAAGGTATTAAAATTTATTTAAGAAATTAATTTTTTTTAAAAATATTTTTTTTTATATTAATGAATCAGGAATTAAACTTCTAACATGTTTAAATGACAAAATGATATGAGAAATTATTAATTCAAATGGTTTAACACTTGAGTTCCTTAATCAAAGATCTAAATTCGTACTTCGTTTTGGATATGAAGTTGTAATTGAAGATATATCTTACAAGTTGATTTGGTGGGGAAAAAATTATATCTCTATCAAACAAAAAAATGAAAAGATTATCTATCAACTATACCATATTTTATTAATAGGTAACATGCACAAGCATTTTGTAACATCATAAGTTTTAATGATTAGTTTTTTAGCAATAATCATGTATATGGTGCTTGAGGTGTGTTGTTGGATTCTGAGAGTTGAGGAACTCTCAAGAGTTTGTTAGTTTTTAGGGCCTTTGGTCAGAGGTCCAATTGACCTTGAGAAAGAGAAATATATAAAGTTTCTATTAAAAACTAAGTCGCATAAGTTCATGTTCTTCAAAATCTAGAGAATGGTTCTGATTTACGTCTTTTCGAAACTTTCTTTTTCTCTTATTTCTTCTAGATTCCTCTAATGCGCGAGGATCATTGTTGGCCTGTATATTCAAAGCTTGAAGCTCATAATCAAGTTGGTGGTTTGCTGTGAAGCTTACCCGAAGCTCAGAGTTTTCTACTTCCTTTTTTCTCTTTTTCAAATTGATTGTGAAGGGAAGTTAGGATTGATTATTGGTGATTGAGCTGAGTTGTATGTTGTTAATTTTGATCAAACATGATTGTATTGTTGAAATTTTTTGAAATTTCATGATGAAGGGAGGGGTTTAGGGTGTTCTTAAGGTTGTTGAGATGATTTGGTTTTATTTGTTGTTGCATGTTGTAATTTTGGTGCAAAACAAGTTGTAAAGGATGTATATCTATGAATGGTTGCATTGCTTGCTTGATTGTTGCTAATTTTCAGGAATCGACAATTTTTGGGGTCTGTAATTGCAGAACTTTGGTGTTGCATTGGGTGCGCCTTCATGGCGTTGAGCATAACTTCAAACGCGGGTCTTTATTCTAATAATGTCAAGTGTAGGATGAGTTATGTTAGATGTGAAGAAAGGGAATTGCCTTGGGTTGAAGTGGCATTAGGCATGGTTTAAATGGTGTTGGACGTAAGTTGGGAAAATTGTCTTTGTTTGGATTGGTGTTGGTGGCGTTAAAGGAGTGGTGCCAAACATGAGACTGGATGTGGGATTTTGTCATACCAAACGTGAGGTCCTAGGGGTTTCGCACTTTACTGACATCAAGCGTAGGTTGGGTGGTGCCAAACATGGGCAAGACAGAGAACTCCCTACCTCACTTGACGTCAGGTGCAAGGTGTACGTGCTACGATGAGCGCAAGTTATCTTTTATGTAATTATTGATTGGTGAGTGGTATGATGACCATGAATAGATTTGTTAATTATATTGCATATTATATGTTGAATGGATGATAATGATGATTTTATGTATATTTGTTAATAGATGTTGGTAGGACTAGAATGTTGATAAGCATTGGCATCCTACACTTTGCATGGTTAAATTGTGGTTGAGCATTGATATGTTATGTATGATTGATATATTATAGTTGCATGGTTGGGGTGTTAAATATAAATTAATATGTTATTCTTGAATGAGTTGATAGGCATTAGTATGCTATATTGGAATGATGCGATTTTTTCTCTATATACATTGACTTGGGGTAATGTATATAGATGATGTATGTTGAGGTGTTGATATTAAGAATGTTATGGGCATTAAATCATGTTGATTGGCTTAAGATTAAAGGAAAAGAGTTGTTTTTGAAAGTTGAAGATCCTATGTAAGGGATCTTGTCGTGGCGCTCTAGGAGACTAGTTGAAAATCCCCCTTGAATAGGTGTGAAACTCTTGGAGTGAATTTTTTTAGTCTTCTTTAGGTTTTTAGTCAATGTAGAGTAAAGTATGAAGTCAAGGACTATAACCCTTAATTGATTACTAAAAAGGTTGTGTGATTCCTTAAGGATAGTTAGTGGACTAATTGCATAAGTGACTTGATAATGTATATTAAGGATCGTAGGATGTCTATATCCAAATTATACTAGTCTTGTCGGTAAAACTAGACTTTTCTAATGTAAGTTGTAACAAATCAGGGGAGGAATTGGTATTTCATTTTAGCTAACAATCTAGCAGGTGCATAGGACATGAAAATGATCAAGTTGTTTCGGTAGAGTCAAGCTATTTTGACTACTCAAGTGTGTTAGTAGATCTTCGTAAACGAATGCGTAACAATGCATTAGATGTTGTGCTTGTATATGATGTGGTGTGAGTTGATAGTATTTATATGCATGGTATGAATACCTTGATATATGGTATGATTGTGGTGAATGTTTGACTAACTTGAGTGTTTAGCTTTCAAACATGTTGATTGGTGACTATTGTAGGCCATGAGGTGTTTATAGATGATTTACATGTGGATGTTATTAGTAGTATGGATGTTTTCTTTTTATACTTGTATGTTTTTTAAAATTAATTTACCCTTACATGTTTTTAGGTTATTAAACTACGATGATCATGAATTTTCATGGGAGTTGGATAGGGTTAATTGGAGTCTGACAAGACTTTATGGGGCCATGTTAATAGCGTGTAGTTTCTAGCTATTTTTGGAGGTTTTGTATAGACCTTGTTTCACCGACAACTTAGAATCTATAGTTATATATTATGTTTTACTAGATGACTGTACACATATTATATATACTTGTAGATTTGTTTTTGTTACACTTATACTTATATACATATATATTATAGTATTAGTATACATATCCATATATTACGAGTATATAATCTTAAATATATTGGTTGTTCCACTGCTAATATTAGATGATTTATAAGTGTGATGACCATAACGTTGTTACACATTTACTTTAAAATAAGGACATTTTTAACAATGCTCAGAGAAATAATGAACAATACTAAAATTATATCATTTGTATAAATTTTTCTTGTTATCGCATCATCTATTTATCTTATGCTTCTCTCTGTTTTTTAATTGTCTTTTTTTTATGTTGTATAAAAATTTATACAAATTTATTGCAGTATGTAATGCAATTTATTTCTATATTGTCAACTGGTATTATTCTCCCCTTAATTATTTTGCAGTGTCGATAGATTGCAAGTTGTGCGTGTCAACAAATTGAATGACAGATTCTTATCTAGTAACAAGCATAGATGAGATAAGCAATTCATGTGTTGGTTTTTGGGAGCTTCTTCACTCTTTAATTATCATTTTATTGCAATTATACTAAAATCATGTTTAATAAAAGATATTAGCTCTTCATAAAGTGAAGAATTAAGGTTTGAATCTCGTCAGAAGACACATTCACATTAGTGTTACAGTTTCGAAAACAATGTTTCTTCTGAAAGATACACATGCACGTGAACACGTTTTAGGTGTAACAACTAATGATGATTATTGAAAACCTTAAAAGGAACGCCATGGAAGTATCATTCGTACAACACAAAATTATAATTTTTTTTTTCTTAATTGCACTTTTGGTCCTTCTAATTTAGTATAGGAGTAATTTTGATCCTCATAATTTGAATTGTTTAATTTTGGTCCATAAATTTAAATAATGGACAATTTTAGTCCCACAAATAATTTACCATCCAAAATTTAACAGACGTTAATGATGTGAATTTTTAAATTTTTTTTTTCATTTTGGATTTGAGCATGGTGTAAAACTGGATCCAGAACGGCTCGTCCTCCTTTCAGAACGGCCCGTTCTCCTTGCAGCAGCTCTTTGACTTGTCCTAGGTAACACTACAATGCCAACATCACCACCTGCACCACTCGTTTGCAGCTGAGACATAGCAGAAAGCTTTGATACTAATTGATAAAAACCTTGGGAAAATCACAACACCAAAGCAAGTCATTGTAGTTGGAGAGCTCAAGTCCTTATAAACCCACACTAGAATCCAATACTTTGCAATTGGATCCTAAGGTGTTTTTCTTGGATAATTGAAAACAATGTTTTCAGGATTCCTGGAGAGCATATGATGGGTCCTACCTGGGAGCAGTTTCTGTTGGTCCATGTTCAAGAAAAAAGAAAACAAGGATTATTTTGAAGCAATGGGTGATGTATGTAATGTAATCCTTTAGTGAGCTTGATTGGGGTAATGCCCACATGTTTAAAGGGGTCTCTTTTCCTCCTAAATTTTGCTGTTTTTTACTTCTCTTTTTTTTTTCTTGTTCAATGATATATTTAGTTTTGGAGGATATGTTGTTCACCTCTGGATATAGGAAATTGTACAATCAACAAATTGGTAAGACTAATCAATAAAAAGACTTGAAAGAAGTGACTCATATTAAGGATTCTGCAAACAAGTAATTGTGACTGATAGTCAAAGAGACTTGGATCAATCACCAACACTTACCAGAGGCTGCTAATATATTTTAATACACCAAAAGGATTAAACTTTATGCCTTTATTCTATTAAGAAAAATTTATCCATACCTCAAAAGGGTGTTGTACAATTTCCTCTGGTTTCTTTTTTGAACTCGGCATGGTAGATGGTCTCAAGCTGAAATACAAAAATAGAACATCCCAAATTTCCTCAAAAAAATACAATAAAAATTCCTCATTCTATTTTTAGTAAATCATTGTTACTTAAATCAAATGGCAGTTTATTTGTCAAAGGTGATAAGGTTAATTTGACATTTGTTTTCAGCCAGAGATGGGAAAGATCACATTCTGAAAACATGTAGCTACTAGGTGACATATACCTGAATAACGATTAAAATGAATTCTACATATTGTTTTTGTTTGAATGTCATTGTCAGCAGTCACGTGTGATATTTTTAACAAAAAAAAATTCTCCTGTGATGTTGTGTGCAGAAGGGCATGGAGCCAGTTCTTGCAATTGGCTTTGACATTAAAGATATCCTTTTCTCAATCAGTAGAACCATCATATTTCAAACTTGTTGAAGTTGAAAGTTCTATGTGGTTTTGACATGCATATTTTTATTGTTTTTGCTCCAGTGATTTTTGTTTTGCTGAAATTTACTCTCATTGTTCATGAGTGCGTAATTAAACATATAGAGTGAGTTGTTAATATATTTATAGCTTTGCCATTGATTAACTGATTTAATTTCAAAATTTTTTAAATTTCTCAAATATATATATTTTTCCTTCCGGTGTATAACAAAAATTGCTTCTTGAGTGATTTCACAAATTTATATGTTCTGAATAAGAAAATCAAGTTGTAATGACGTCATTTGTACATTCCAAGCAGATTTTCCTACAAAAGCTAAACACAAATCATTAGTTTTTAGAATGCAAGTTATTCTTGAGGATCAGTTAACCACCTCCCAGAAGTGGGAAAATTTGTAGCTTTTGCCAGTGATAAACCAGCATATAATAGGGCTTGTTATGTCGTAGTATCTTGTAAATAAATAATACTAGTATATAGTAAATAGTTGCATTCCTTCCTTAATTTTCATGCCAATAAAGAAGACATTTATTTCTCTGAAGTTGTGCTGTTAGGTAATGTTCTTTATGTCACTTCTTAAACAAGATAGAAAGAGACGGAATAAAACTGAAAGTTATCTTCTTTACTTCTAAGTTGTAATCCATTTTTTTTTACTGAAGTTGTTTACATTTAAACCATTACTTGATAATTTGAGTTAGTACTATCTTTTAGTATCAGTACCTCTTCATTGTATTTTTCCATTTAGACTTATTAACTTTTATTTTTCTATAAACGTTATCAGAGGGTTTTTTTTTTTGTGTTGATATTTCTTTAACCTTTTTTTTTTTTTATAACATTATTTTGATTAAAGGTTTTGCTACGAAAAAATCTTAAGATTTATTGCCAAAAAATTGCACTTTTGTAGTTCTGGTTTTTCTTAGCTATCATACAGATTCCTAAGAAAGTGAATTGGGAAGAATACATTCCACAGGACTCAGATCAGTGGGAGTCACAGATGGTTGTATCTAGAATGTTTGATGAGAGGCCTATATGGCCCAAAGATTCACTTACTGAACGCTTGATTGATAAGGGCTTAAGCTTTTCTCATGGCATGCTCAGAAGGTGAAAGGAGCAAATTCTTCTGATTAGCTCTTTTAACTTGCAATAATTGAGTTGCTAAACCATGATATTCATGCAGTGACCTTCCATTCTCTCTTGCAGGCTTCTATCTAGAATTTCTTATTACTTTTCTAGTGGTCCATTTCTAAGGTTTTGGATCAAGAAAGGATATGATCCACGCAAAGACCCTGGTTCTCGCATGTAAGACTTACTCCTAATTTCTAAATGATATCTTGGATTCTGGTTATACATTTGCACTCAGAAAAGTATTTGATTCCTGTGATAAATATATTTCTGATGTATTGTTTAGTTTGTATATATTATTAAACTACCAGCATTCCAGGGTGTCATGTTATTCT